GAATGGCTCTGAGCCGAGCTTCTACGGACTACCCAAGACCCACAAACCTAACGTCCCCTTGAGACCTACCGTGGACTTTACAACCTCACCGCTCCGAGCTCTGTCAAATTACCTACAGCGGACTATAGCTCCCCTTGTTGGAAATACGCCAACCCATGTGCTGAACACCAACCACTTCGTGGAACGTGCCTCGCAAGTGAGACTCAGCGATGATGACACGATTGTGTCTTTCGACGTTGTGTCGCTCTTTACCAGCGTGCCAGTTCCCTTAGCAGTTGCTGCAGCCAGAGAGGTTCTCGAGAAAGACGAAACATTGGGCTCAAGAACCAGCCTCAGTGTTGACGAGCTATGCCGCCTTCTCGAATTCTGCTTTGGCAGTACGTACTTCAACTTCAAGGGTGAGCTTTTCAAACAAGTCAGCGGAACGGCAATGGGCGCCTCTATTTCGGTCACGACGGCAAACCTCACAATGGAAGTGGTTGAACAGAAAGCGCTTAGCACTTTCGCCAACAGGCCAAAAGAGTTCATGCGCTATGTAGATGATTGCTTTTGCATCGTGAAGAAATCTGAGGTGAACCACTTCCTCGTACACCTGAATTCCATAGAACCGGCCATCCAGTTCACGGTAGAATACGAGAGAGATGGAGTCTTGCCGTTCCTCGATGCTCTGGTGAAAAGGCAAGGAGACAAGCTGGGGTTCACGGTCTACAGGAAGCCAACACACACCGGACGCTACCTTGATTATGACTCGAACCACCCAACGAGTCACAAGACGTCGGTGGTCTCTACTCTCTTGTCTAGAGCAACGAACATCTGCTCGTCGGAAAAAGACAGAAGAAAGGAGAAACAGACCATACTTGCTGACCTCCAAAAAAACGGCTATTCAAGGAGTTTTGTCCAACGCGTTGCCCGTCGACAGTGCTGCACGCGCAATAACCATGGATCGTCGGGTGACACACAGCCCCGCCCCATCGCGCGCATCAGCGTCCCCTATGTAAAAGGGACGAGCGAGACACTGGCGCGCGTGCTCCGAAAAGAAGGAATCCAAGTGGCGCACAAGCCAGTGTCAACATTAGGACGGCTCATGCCAAGGCCGAAAGATCGCCTCCCAAAAGAGAAAGCCCAGGGCGTGGTCTATAAGATACCGTGTGCAGAGTGCCCCGCCGCCTACATCGGTGAAACTAAATCTTTTCCCGAACGCATGCGCCAGCACCAGAACGATGTGCGCAATTTCGATCGCGAGCGTAGCGCCGTCGCGGAACATTGTGAGGTGTTTGATCATCGGATTGACTTCGGAAACGCACACGTGATAGACACGGAGCCACATATTCGAAGACGCCTGTTCTTGGAGTCGTGGCACATCCAGAATACACCGGGGAACATTAACAGGTCCCTCGGGGCCTTACCATCTATTTACGTCCATGGCCTGCGTCACGTTCACAAAACATCACCTCGGTAGAAGAAGAAGGAGAGGTCGAAGCTCGCGCTGTCCCATTCCATCTTTAGTCACCCCTGAAGAAGGAGTCAAGCCGACCCCGAAACGTTGGGAACTGTTGTTTCTCAACTTTTGGTTTGAGTTTTCTTTTTTTCGAGCCATGATTTACGGGTGGGTGGGTGTGAGTGAGTGAGTGAGTGAGTGATTTATTTGCACTTAAATTGGTGCGCACTCGGCGGCGTGCCAGGCAAAGCAGATAGGCAAAAACCCTTACGCGTGTGCGTCTGCCAGCCTGCCGCCGTGTGCGTTGGGAGTTATAGCACTACCCAGCTTTAGAAGCGTTAAAACTATGATGGAAGTGATGATGGAGGTGGTGGTGATGACGACGATGTTGCTGATGACGATGGCAATGGTGATGATTATGATTCAAGAGGAAGAGGGGGTGAGGGAGTGAAGATCATGATGGCAGCAGACGCGAAGGCATTCGTCTAGCAAATACCTTGCAAAGTTCCCGGGATTCATCGTGTGATGTGGGCAGAGGGCTACGAGAAGCTAATGATATGGTAAAAAAATCTCTAATGGCGGCAGGCAGCAGGGATTCGCTGTGACGAACAGTCCTACCTCGAAGAAGTTCGGGCTGACTGTAGTGGTTTTAGTACATGAACTCAAAGCGGCGCCAAAAGCCGGCGCCGCCATGTTGCACGCTCTGGCGTGCCCGCGTGATACCCCACGATAAGCTCGTGATAAAAGAGATCGTGCTTGGATTCGGACGGGGCTGGTCGTGTCTGTTTTTTGATCCTGAGCCGGCGTTCTCGGACCCGCAGAATATTACACTGACCTGATCTTGTACCGAGACGTACGGCTGCCGATGGGCGAGTCCCCGAAGGAGATCCGTCGAGCAAGCGTTTAAGAGACGTTGAAACCTGACAAGTGGGGGCCCGTCCGAAATACTAAGATGTCTCATCGACCGCTTTTCGTGCCGCCGGACTTTCTCCGAACGATGATGCAGCAAACGGATGGTTCAGCGCTCCATCGGGAACAGATCGCCGCCCACATACGCGAGCTCTTGATTGCCGCGCCAATCGAGCTTGCAGAAGGTGAGCTCGACCCTGAGCTGCCTCAGCCCTTCCAACCCTTGTTGCCTCAGCCCCTGTCGCCTCAGCCTTTGTCGCCTCAGCCCTTGCAGCCCTCGTGCAGCAATTTTCGTGAAATAAGTCGTGCAGCAATTTTCGTACTTTCAGTAAATACCGCTAAGAGCTAGTCTGACGTTGATAACTCGCACAAACGCCCATTCGTTTTCCTCTCTGCGCAATGGCAGATGCAGAAAACATAAAGGAAAGAAACAGCTTTACCCTCCCAACTCGCAATTAGAATAAACGGGAACGTGAACTGACGCTAATTATATACCGCCAGTGTTCACCATAGTCCTGCACTGGAGTTGGGAAAGCATAAAGCATGGGCTGAGCTTCAGACATTATTAGAGTTTTGCTATTTGCATCTTTAATTGAGCACGAGCCACTACGCGAATGTTAAGCGATGTCGATCGTCATGAACCCGAGCACTCGTCTCGGGCACATGAAAATGGGGTAGGCCCGCCGGCAATATGAAGCTGAACACCTTACCTTATGGTACGTGGCCTAGGGTCTAATTTTTGAGTTCTAGCCCTCTTCCGGAACAGAGCTCGTTCCAAAACTTGCAGGAGCGTCGAAAACAAAAAGAGGGCTGTTCACCTTCATATCGCTCACGGGTGTACGTCAGTGTCTAACATGACTTGCGGTGCGAAGTCGTGAGGTCATGTGTCGTCACGGTGTCCACAACGCAAATAAATCTAGGGACGTTCTAAATATAAATCGACTTGACGCAATGAGTCACGTGACCACGTGACGCATGATTAATTATGATGTCAATACAAAAGAGCCACGAGAACCCAGTTTCTCACACATTGACATCTGCATAATGATTTGATAATTACACAGAAATACAGCTGCAAACTTTTTATTATCGAATATTTTGTGATACTAAAAAGACAAAATATCGTGAACCGATTTGAGCCGGTCACCGCATTATATTTTCGGTTCAGTTCCGGTTCATTTCCAAGATCGCAGCGAAGAGTGCTTGGTTCAGTTCCGGTTCAGTTAAAAATAACGGTTCGATTCTCGTTTTCGGTTCGGTTCGATTAGGTTCCTGTTCCACACACTGGTGGTGACACGGTTCGGATCTCCGAGGCTAATGGACGCTTTTTACCCACTCGCCAGATTACAGCCGCCACTGCTGGCAGGGACTTTTAGCAAACCGTTACCGTTTTCCGCGTATTACGCACTACCGGAGCCTTTGAAGCATGCTTCTATGCACGCGCCCGGGTGATACCGTGAGTGCGGGGCACGCTCTTAAAAGCATGCTTCGAAGTCTTCGGTAGTGGCGTACGCGGAGATGTCGAAAGAGTATAGCTACCTACCGTAGCGAAGTTGCGCGTTCACCCTCGGCGGGTGGCCGTAGCACCGGCTTTCCTGCACGGCCCTGGATTCTTTGCTCGTCACGTGACTGAATTCAGCGAATAGAGGCGCCGCGCGCGCCACCACGCGTGGAAAAGAGGAAAGGAGAAGGAGGTACAAGTAAGATACGCCGGGGCGCGTGCAACGCCGGCGAAGCAACCGCATCGGTGGCGTTTCCGCACGGCTGGATTCTTTGCTCGTCACGTGATCGATCTCGGCGAATAGCGGCGCGTGGAAAACGGACACGCAAACTCTGGCTCTTATAGGGAGCCTATACGGGAACTCTAGTGTCACATTCTTCCAATAAAGTGTGCAACACTGAGACCCCATATCGTTTCTTGACGCCCCTAAAAGGCGCTTTTACATTTATACCATAAAGGCCGACGACCCAGAAAACGCAAGAGAGAGGACACTTCTCTTTTCTGTGTCCTCGTAACGCCTCCGAAATACCGAGGCCCGAGTGCCGGATTTTCAACGTCACCGGCCGGAGGCCAGCTTGGGGCACATATTCGACAAAACAGCTCCGTCAGCTTTCAGCTGGGAGTTATGTGCAATCAGTGCGAACAGGAGTTTCAGCCGAATGTCGGCGCAGCACCCATTATTCGTGCCCCTCCTGGACTTCAGTTGATGGCGTGAAACTCAAGCACAGTGGCCTTGCTATCTACAATGTGCTGGACTACGGTGCTCACCGTTCCAAACATAATTACTAACTAGTACAATTAGCCCTGTTATTGTGTTTTGTTGGGCCACGCACTACTCTGCTCCAGGTGGGCAAGATACGGGGAGAAGGGGAGATACATGCTCCGCGTGATGAGAAATCCAGCGGAGAGGAGAGATACAATGGAGGTAGAGAAGTCAGGTAAAATAAACCTAGCAAATAAAAAAACAGAAGAACAAAAACATGACAAACAGCCGTTAATTGCCACCTTTCCCGCACAGCTGCTCGTTCAGCCTCACGACAGAGATTCCGCAGGAGCAGGCCGCGTCTACATCGAGCGCCGTTGTAAACACTATCGCGGATATTAGTTCCATCGGTCGGCTTCTGCACTCGGCCATCCGGACCCTCCGAGAGAATGGCTGCCAAGAGCACCACAGACGCTCCAAACTCGGGCTCGGCGGCCGCAGGCGATGGCGTCGTGGTGACGGTGGACGACATCCAGCGGCTCGGCATCGCCAAATTGAAGCCGCTCCCGGAGAGTTACTACGACGGCGGAGCCGACGAGGAGCAGACGCTGCGAGAGAACAGGCTGGCCTTTTTCAGGTATCGGTGACGTGCGCGACCGAAAGTGTCCCTGCGGTCGGCCTTGCCAAACGCTCACTATACTGGGGAAATTTACGGGACACCTCAATAGACCGCGCAGTGGACTGTACATACTCAGAACGAACTAAGGCTCATAGGCTGTTCAGACCAACCATCTTTATGGTGTGCAACGCACCTCAATTGTGGAGGCTGGACGTCAGCGCACGCTCAATAGAAGCGGAATTAGCTGTGACCGCCAGTGAATACTCTTGTGGTCACTGGATTCCATGAAAATAGCGACATTGCCTTTCCTTCTTGCTGAACAATACAGGCATGCAGACGACCAAATCTTCGCAAGGTGATTGGCTGGTTGACCGGTGTCTGCTATCATGGCAATCGCCATTTGATCCCTACAAATCTTCCAAAAGGTCGTTCTGAACCAGTCCCACCAATATCGATATGGAGCATCATCGCATTGAATGTGTTCATCGCCGATATAAGCGTATTTGGCACTGGGTATGGAGTTAACCTATCAATGAGGCTAACATCCACTGTTTTCTGAAAATAGTACTGTTATGGCGTGCATATTTCATTACAGAAAAAAAAAATCAATGCCACTAAGTAACGACGCCACAAGTTGTGGCGATGCGAAGATGTGCGCTTCGTCAGTCGGTGTGTGAATAACAAAATCTCGGTATGCAGAAAACGACTTTTTAAAGCCACCTTTCTCCACGGATTTCAATCGGCTAACCAAGAATGGAACGTAAAATAATAAAAAAAGAGCTCATTCCATGCATCAAAATAGAACCTATAATGCAAACGAAGGCTGGGGAAGAAGAAGCAAATGGAACACTAGAGAGAGGAGGAGGTTTCCTTTTTTCTTCTCCAGCCTTCTGTCTGTTCCCTCCTCCAACCTTCCTTTCCCTCGCCAGCGTTTCTTAACCTGTAACTAACTATACAATCTTTACGCTAAAAACAAAAATGGGGTGTGGGCATGCTTATAAAGCCTGAACTCAGTCTGCCTCAACGGGCGACGTGTCTCTCAGCTGTGATTGGTTAATTGATTTGGTGTTTGTGGCGCAAAAGCTACTAAGGCTATAAAGCGCCAAAAACAAGACTATTGCTGGAGGAGGTTTAAAGGGAAGAAAGAGTCTTTAGTAGCCAGTGATTAAATAAAATATGGTGATGGGGTACCAAAAGGTAAAAGAGTGATGGGCATGATCTGTAGGTTAAGAAAGCTACAATCGGTGTAGAAGGTCGATACTATCTAAAAATTTGAAAACATTAGTGTGTGTCACAAGAAAATCATCACTTAAGAGCAGAGCTGGGTGTAGTGGGACTTGTTCTTGATACAGTTGCGAAAAGTACAAAAGACGTTTTTCATGATAAGCAGAACATTCTACTAGAATATGTAGAATGCTTAAGGCATTGTCACACTGCTCACAAGTTGGGGCATTTTCCCCACGAAGGAGGTAGCCATGAGTCAGATGAGTGTGACCAATCCTGAGCCGGAAATGGACAACCTCAAAAAAAAAAACGATCCTGGTGGCGTGCACTCTGCCATTCGCTCAAAAGAGGTTTGATCATGTGCAACTTGTTGCCGATTTCTTGATCCCATTCAGCCTGCCATTTGGACTACGTGATGCCTGAGACGGGCTTTGTAGTCTGCATAAGGAATGTCGTGGAGATCAATTGCTCGCTTCACACAAGTACTTGCTGCGCGATCTGCAGCCTCATTGCCCGGAATGCCGACGTGGCTGGGAATCCAGCAAAATATAATTTCGTTTCCCTGTCTTGAGGCAGCAACAACCTTATTTCGCAGTTGAAGAAGCAGGAAGTGCTTGAGGGGTGTCAGTGAAGACAGTGCATGCAATTCTCTCAGCTGTGAGAAATTTAGCCGGCGATTTTAAATATATCCTATAGACCAACACGCAGCTCTAAGGTAACGTCGCTGCGGTGGCGCTGCTGTTGGTGTGGCGCATGCGCAGAGGCCTCGCTTGACGCCAACCTGGTTTCTGCGCTTGCGCAGTGCCCACACCCGGGTATGGAGGAATGCAGACTCGTTTGGAAAGAGCGCGGTGAGTGACCGACAGGACAGGAAGCGGCGCATGTTTCTTTCCGATGCTTCCAGAACTCCCGCGTTGCCTTCTGTTGTGCTTTGCCTGCGCCTGCACGCCTGAAGTCCAAGCTCACCAGATGCCGAAGTGTTATCCAAGGTATAGGAGGCTCGCACCGGGCACCACTGAAGAACATTCCTGCCGCCTGCGACTATATATAGTGGGATTACTACCCCAGGGCAGCACCAGTGTACCTTTAATGGAAGATTCGGGTGGTCAATCGGCCGGCGAGCTCTTGCCAGAGTAGCCAGAAACGCGCCGGCGGCGCATCACGTGACCCTCTCTAAGTTACAATCAATCACAAAACGCCGGCACCTGGCGCTTTTTGTTAACTACTTCCTCGATTATTCTATAGTAGACGAGCACGCCGCATGCGGAAACAACATATCATTGGACTCTGAAATGTGCGAAAACACAGGAGACGTCATAATAGGGCTGGGGGATTTATAAATCTGTGTGGGTCTGCCCGCGCACGAGTCAAATCCCAATATATTTTGCTTTCATTTTGAAAGAACTGTTGTCAGTTTACAATGTTCCCAAGGTTTGCCAGCGTCGCTGTTCATCTTATATATTCTTGTTATTTTTTGTGTAATCCTCAGTCTTCTCCTTGTGCTCACTCTCGTCCAAGTGTGTGTTCAAGTGTCAAGCTGCATCACTGGCCATACTTTTTTGTTTTTTCCATAGCGGGGGAATAACACATCATGTCCCAGTGCAAGCTGACCTTGCGCAAGCTTAACAATTTTTTTGAACCTATTTGCCTTTTGTAAGGTCTTCTAATTTCTTATTACCCACTCGCAGACTCTAATAACTATTTGTTGTTTGTTATTGCTATCCGTACTTTGAGGACAGAAACGTGTCTAGCTCGATTATTTCGCTTGCGACTCGAACCCGCAAGTGGACTGCATACTGGCACACAATGCTCGCACAAAAAATATAATATCAAATAATTAACTAACGCCGTACATAGAAAAGTCGAGGTATGACTTAATATTTAATTGTTCGAACCAGACATTTGTCACTATAAACTTTGACTAGCAGATGTCAAGGAGCGGCTTATCACCGCGATCAGACGCTGCCGCTAATCAAAACACTGATTGCAACGACCAATGTTCACCAATCGGCGAACACTGGACTTCTTAGTAAAAAGTACAGGCAGCATCCAAAACCCGTACCGAGCACTGCTGTCCTCTATTATCGATCTCAGCAGAACAAAAACGATTAACATTTGTTTACCATGTGATGGAGCGCGCATAGTTGTTGCGGTGATTCAGTTATTACAGTTGTTTGGGATGCACTAAATGCAAACGGCTCAGACGTGTCGTTGCGTTCACCGCTACTAAATTGCTGAGTGCCATTCACACAACAAATTATGGGTTATAAAAGAATTTCAAGAATAACAGACATCCACATACATCAGCGGACTCGTTGCAGTGAGACATAAAAGCAGGATGTGTTTTATAAAATTACATACAATAGCATCGTTGCCCACAGGTGAGCATTTCCTGAACCATCTGTCGCTTCGCAACCTGGTGCCGTCAGAGCACTAGTCGACTGTAAACAAGAAAACAGTTGCACATGTTCGGCGGCAAGATATATTTCCTGGTACTCACTAAAAACAAAAAGTACTGAACATTCTCTTCTCGTACATGTTCGCGCAAACAAATAACAAAAATACAACACGAACTTATTATTTTATTGCCTATTTTGCAGAAAGAAAGAACAACAAAGGTGCGATTTGCATGTTACTGCGTTCCATCGAACATGTAACGCTGAGGTGTAAAAACACTGGAACATATTTCAACTTAGAAAAAGAAAGAAAAACGAAAATACGTTATACGAATCAGTGTTGGCAAATACAGCCCCTTCACCGACAAAGAAAGATTCTTCTTTACTCGTTCGGAAATTGGCAGCCAGAATAGTAAAAATGAAAGGTGATCCACGCCAAGATATTCTATTTTACGATTTGGAAAAGTGTACAAATGGAAAAAGGGTACGCAATGTAACACTCCTTTTGCGCCCTTAAAAAATGAAGGGTTTTCCATGCTACAACACCCTTTTGAAATAGTGCATTACTCGAAATAACGGTTCCGGTGGGTTGTAGCCGTGGGTATAATTCTCTGCAACACCCTCTTCACGCCATTAAAGCGGAGGATGAACGATTTTTGTACTTTGCATAAACACCATTGATAATGAATGCACGGCATTTATAATCCATGCCACGCGCGTTAGTATTTCTCCTCGTGCTATAATAATCGCAAAAAAACAATTTTTTTTTTTTTTTGGGGGGGGGGGGGGGGGGGGAGAGAGAGAGAGAGAGGGGGGTCCAGATGCATCGCAGTGTACGGCGCGAACGGCGAGGAACGAGCCGCAGCCTCTCTGCTCGGATTACCGTCCATTGCAGAAGCGGAGGAGGCGGTGATAGTCTTAGCCATAGGTAGCGCCAACACACGGGGAGATAGCAACCGAACCGAACGGTTACCGTACTCGTCGACTTCCAAGCTACTTGCAGGGCTTGGGCAGGAGGAATCTTGTCCAAGTGGGGTAGAAGAATCGCAGCCCAGGTAATCTACTGGAAACTCCCTTTGATTCGCATACTGTAGCAACTCGGCCACACTCATTTTCACGGTAATGAGAGTGCAAATTCGCTCGCTCGAAGACTCACCTTAGGAGAGGTCAAGCACGGAGAAGGGGATGTTGGTCGATGACAATTCGACTAGACCCGTAAGCGACCGACAACCGCCATACGACGGAACCGAAGAACACGACTCACAAAGACTCGGGACCTGTAATCAGTCTACGGAATACTACCGATACGGCCGGAGGAGATGTCCACGCTTGCACGAAGACCTAAACAGGCTTCGGAATAGAGGCGGGTGCAAACATAGGCTTTCCGAAATCTACAGCAACTTCATATCTGCTTTCCTCGCAGCTACCAAGGCAAACGCCCGAGTTGCAACTCCACGACCCCCCTACCGCTCTATCACTGTACCTGGCCCTGCCCGACTCCACTGGGAGAAGGAATCCGACCCCTACCCAATCCTTTCACATCCTTCTGGGCCACCGCCCTCCTCGGCTAGGATACTGAGCAAAAGCCACAGCTCGTCGCTTGGGCCAGAAAGATAGAGGTAGCTTGTGGGGCCATGAAATTGAGAACAGAAAATTGTGTCTGTGTGTGTGTGTGTGGGGGGGGGGGGGGGACTTCACAGATCAGAACTATTGAAAAGTTTTTACCACCAACAACGAGCGGCCACATGATTTGGAAAACATTATAATGCAGCCAATGGTTATCATAGCCCCGCTTGGGGTTGGCAAAACACAGGTACGCCCGAAGTTCTACACGTTTTTAGTGTTCGGCTATTGTAGTCATTGAAGCGATTTGGCACGAGCCACTGCTCGAATGATTATCGAGCCAGAGATTATCGCGAGCCGAAACCGAGTGTTCCCGCAATGCTCGGGTTCAATTTATGAGCCGGATTCAAATATCGTGACTGAAGGAATATGCCGACGTTGGACCATTCCAAACGTTATAAGATTAGCTCAGTTACAGAATTGCTTGTAGACGTTGTTTACACTTCTATAAGCTATGGTAACTGCTATAGTAACTGCACTCTGTTCTATGGAATTCGTACGTTTACACGCACAGCATCTAGATGGCGTTCGCCGTACCCCATGGAATACGCAGATTTCAAGCGAAAATCTAGATGGCGCTTCAAACGACTAGAGGCGGATTGAACTAAGTGTGGGAGATCCAGAACTGAGGTAATCCAGAAACATTGGACTATGCCAACACTGCGACCTCCAAACTACGTCATCAAGTTTTGTGCAAAAGATTGAAAGAAAACTCTCGCTTTTATTTTTGAAATTGTACAGCAACAAAGTGGTTCCTTGGTCAATGGCGTTGCGGAGGAATACACCTTGCTCCCACTTGTGCCAGTTGGCTTGTATAAAGTGAAAAAAAAAAAAAAATTCCAATTGAATATTGTTACATCACCCCTGTAAAAGTATATTTTTTAAAGGCCCTGTTATACTCCGACGCTGAGCGCAGCGTAGCGCAGCGTAGCGCAGCGTAGCGCAGCGTAGCGCAGAACGTGCGCCTTTCGTTGGCTGGTCATCAGGAAGTCGATATTTGCGAGCAATTAGTAGTTGCATGCGCTGCGTCACGTCACGTTTTCTACGCTCAACGACAGAGCCTAGCAGAGCCTTTAGTGTGTAGTCTGCAGCAAAGAGCCGCAAAAACACTGTCCCCTTTTGTTTTCTGTATAGTCTCCCCAGAAAACGTGCTATAGAAACACTTAGTAGAAGGTTGTGCTGAAAAAAGTTTTTGGTAAAACATTTTTGTAACTTTTACGTTGTATTGTTATTCTTTTTTTTTTTTTGTGGGAGGCTTAAAAGTTTTCAGTACGTTGCTTTGTTGACCTCGTTGCAAAGAGGTGGATGCGAACGGTGAGGGTGTATCGGTTTGTATAAAAATACATGTTTGTGATAGCTATAGATTATTTGCTGAGTTTGAGACTGTGTGTACTATGTGCCTTTTTTCTATTTTTTCTTTGTGTTAAGTTAAAGTTGTGATCTATTTCTTTTTTAAAACAAGTTACTCGCAGCTGCATGCGCAGCTGCGAGCAACTCGTTTGCTCTCGGAAAAATTGGCGTCATCTGAGAGGAAAAGTCTACAAATAAATCGCGGGTGAATCGCCCTGAAAGTAAAAGGGAGAAATGCAAACTGTGTTTGTGTGACAGTCTTACGTCGAGTGGTATCATAATGTCCCGTGACTCTAAACTGCGGGTAAATTTAGCTGGCCAATTGTGTCGTCACGTGGCGCGACGTCACGTGACACAATGACGTCACAATATCATAACACTGCGATTTCTCGCTGAATCGAGCGGGTCTCGGAATACGTATACGAAACACACGATCATGCTGCCTAACCTCGCCAACGGCTATCACCGTAAAAGGGTTACCAAAAAAAAAAAAAGAGGCAAGAGAGCTGGTGATGCAGTAAGATCGCGGGAATGAATCGTGTGTAGGAACGCGAGTTCTAGGTATAAACGGCGAGTTTTAATATTGCGTATACGAGTAAACGCAAAAATGAGCACTGTGCATCTGCGTTGCGTGTTCCGAACTACGAGTGTGGAGAGTCCAAGATCCGTCTTGGATTGGCGCATGGCGAAAACGCACAAGCGCAGAGTGGATCATTCAAAGCTTTGCCTTAATACGCAACACGAAAACTCTCTAATAAAAAAAGAACACAATTATTATGGGCTTAATGGTGCAATAGCAACCTCGCCATATGTTGCCACAGATTCTTTAAGTTATCCACAACAGGAGGAACATACATAGTCAATGAAAAAAAGCTACACCTAAAGTAGAGAGCTGGTATTTATCAAAAAACAATTTAATCACGATTAAAAGAGGAGAGGTTCCTTCTCGAAGAAAGAAGGCAGAATAAAACGAAAGATGGCGCCTAAAGAGTTCAAGGTAACACGCTCGTCGCTGTTAATTAATTACTTTAAGAACAAATGCAATTACTTTTTGAGATGCCGAACTTCAACAATTTTAATATGAGAGGGGTTGTCGGCATTTAAATGCGTTTTTATATTCCTTGTTTTACCCTTGTCAAACAAGGAATGGAGGATCCGCGTATTAAATTTAATGATTGTCATATGTTGCGCCTTTGTGTGTAACACCAAACCTACCTTAATACTGGTATAAGGGAGCTCCGTGTGCGGTGCCCCCCCCCCCCCCCCCCCCCCCGAGTCAGTTCTATTATTTTCCAATAGCAGTAAGATTGCTAGTGTTATTTTTATGTCTGCGGTTTAAAGTGTCTACGATGCATTTATGTTAATAGGCAGCGAAAGAATCTCATAAAGGCTCGGTTCGTAATGATTTTGGAGATCTTATCACGACATTAGTCGCGATTAGATGTTCAGAGAGCAGATTCCTATCACATCACTTTCATTTTTCCTCTGCGTCCTGATAACGTAAGGTAGCTTTATCCAGGGCACCTTTGACCTAAACGGTTGATGCGGGTTTGACTGTCGTAAAGCTGTGTGAAACCTAGACAGCTTGCACCAGGGCGCTGGCCATTCACAAAGTGCCGCGAATCGACAGAAGGCAATTTAGGCAAAAGCAAAGTGTATTCTTGCCTGTCGATGACTCTACAGAGTGAAGATCAAACACGATATTGTTATAAAAACAAGTAGTTTTAATCTTAATCTAAATTATGTAACAATGAGGCCCATAGAGTAGTTATATTACAACTAAGATTACTTACCAGAATATATATAAATATAAATTACCTAGAAAAACAAATAAATTACTGTAATTCAGATGTGGTAATAGAATTGATACTCAAATATAGCAGCAATGCTCACACTGTGGGACCCGGTACCCACAAAACAAATACACTTGTACTGAAGGCGAGTGACTAACCCTCAAGGGGGACGAAGCTACAAGGAAACAATTTTTTACGGGGGGAACTCTCGCAGTCTATAAGCAGGTTTGCTGTTAGTTTCACAATCTCATATCTATTATCTAAGAAAACGAGACCCCAAACCGTAGAGCTCGCTGCTGCCGGTGTCATTGGAGTCCAAGTGTTTAAACAAATCGACTTCTCGAATACTCATGCATCTAAACATATTACCTAATCAGCACTCATAGCGTTTAACAAAGTTCACCGTTTACCAATTCATAATTGACTCCTCATGCGTGGCAGCGGACACACTCCATAAAAGAGACTACGCTATAACCCCTTAAAAAACGGACAAGTGAAGTTAAAGTACGAGGCAGACGTAGTGCGTGTGGGTCCTATTTAAAGCAACAGCTTTATATGCAAACCCTGCACGAACCTTGTTTGCTTGAGTCGGTGTCGGTCGCAGTAAATCGAGACCCCGAGAAAGAGTTTGAGCAACGCAACGCAGCTGTTAATTCGACGTCATAGTGCTCCTGACCAGTGAGACATCGTCGCGGTCTGTGTGCGCATGTCGGAGGAAGGGGCGAGCTAGTGGTGCGCTAGCATTCCCCTTTTTCTCCCATCCCTCCCATACCTAGGAACAGAAGCTGCGCGTATAGGGTACGAGCTGAGCTTTAGTAGGATAATCTAGTAGGCGCGAAAGAATTCTTTTGCCAAGCGGTATGCGTGGCCGCATTGCAGGGACAATGATAGCATGCCTCCAGAGAAGAGGTGCATAAATAAAGAAAACAAAGTTCCTGACACATTTACAATTCCTTCGCGCCGTGTTACATTACATACCATTCTGATTTCAAGTGCTGCTCGTTAAAAACTCCAAGTCCCAGCGCATTTTCCTGCTTTTCGGGGAAGGTCTGAGCCAGGATAATTATTTTTTGTGGGTGTATTTGCCCTTTGTGTCGGGTTCCGATAGGTATGAGCTCCATCTGACGAAGGCTTTCCTCCGGTCTTCCAGGCTACGTCTGCGACCCCGAATGCTTCGGAATGTGGAAACGAGAGACAAGACGGTAACGCTACTTGGAAGCCAGAAGCTCTCCATGCCAATCGGGATCTCGCCCACGGGCTTTCAGAAGTTTGCCCACCCAGAAGGGGAGAAGGCCACCGCCAGGGGTGTGTTTCGCAGACCCTTAGAATTCGCTATACAGACTCTCCCCCACATTTATGCAAATCAGCTGATTTAACGCTTCTTGACAAAAAAGCTATGATGGAGAGCATTCCATTTTTGTTTTATACAATGAATGATCAAACCCGAATAGATAAAACTATCTCTCTCTCTCGGTCGGAACACATCAGGAGCCACAAGAAGTAACCACGGCCGGCTCCTAACAGAATATCAAAGTAATAACAAGTTTTTTAAATACTTATTTTCTCGCGGATAGTGTAAGAAACGAATCGTTAGCCTGACACCTTGTTCACTGCATCTCTGTATATTAATTTGCAATTGCATTAGATCACTATTTCATGTGATTTGTGCTACAATCATTTTTAACTGACCATTCTATTTCTGTTATTAGTTTTCTAAATATGCATGTTAAAAAGTATGTTTTACGTTGCATCACGAGTGATACGTATACATCTATTTCATCCGAGTCGTTCAATTGGGCTCACCTTATAATCGTTATAGCTTGCTTCACACTACTAAATCATTTTACTGCATCACCAACTAACGTATGAGTGTCAACTTTGTTACATACTACTGAAGTACCTAATGGAAAAGACGGTATTACAAAATAATAATACAGATGAATCGGGTGAATTGATTTCACTAAGAACCCGCCAATACAAACATTATGCTGCCCATCGCCCTTATATTTCCCTCCGAAATCGGGGGTGTTTTTTCGTAGTCTTCTTTTCCTACAGAGGATTTTTGGTGTCAAATTTTGGTAGAGGACAGAAAATAGAAGTTTAGCGGAGCTTGTGTTCGAAGAAAAGAGGACAGAGAAATGGGATTCCCAGCCTCAAGAGAATTCTCGGTGCCGATAACAGAAGGAAGCGAAAGTTCCAGGAAAGTTCAGGGGGGGGGGGGGGGGGGGGGGGGGGGGGCTATTTTTTAGCGAAAAATACCTTTGTAAATAAAGGCGTTCCCAAGCAATTTCTTTTCTTAATCGAGGAGAGCTCCAGCGGACCTTTCCGGAGAATCCCACAAATCCCACAAAGCCAACACGTGCCCTTTTTTTTTTTTTTTTCGTTTTGCATTTTTTTTTTTTTTTTTTGTCGCCAAAATGCTAAACAAACATGAACGCCTCCTTCTTTTTATGGGCCTGCTCCTTCGTACTCCGTACATCGGATTACCGTAGTGTGTCAAAAAGTAGGTGGGAGGCACTGTGTATTTCCGAAATGG